TGTTGATCAATAATCTGAATTCCATCTTTCCCAAAGGAACTGCCATGGAATTTATAGCTCTGAAAAGGGAAGTTTATCACCAAGAAAATGGGAGAATGGGGGAAAGTGGAAACATGGAGGGGAATGTGGGAATATGGCGCTGAAGGTGGGAATATGGAGGGAATAAAGCAGCAGACATGGTTTACTAGGTTAAAACGGAGGTAAATAAAAATTAATATGGAAGTTTTCTTACTTTTCCCTCCATTTAATTTTTACTATTACTATTATTTAAATAGAAAAAAATAGAAAATAAAAATAATTTGTTTGGCAAGACATACTAAAGTACAATTTATTTATCTACTAAAGCAGTAATAAATAGAGTATGCAAAATAACGACAACTTGAAGTATAGATAAAGGTATGAAACAATTATAAAATTCATCTTATATTCATAATGGTTAGTATTTTAAGATTAGATAACTGTAGAAAAAATTATCAAATTATATATTTGAACTACGTATTGTTAAAGTTTTTTTTGTTTTTGGTCGGAGCTTGTCTATGGGCGAGACAGTATCAAAATAATGTGAGGCTCACACATAGAGCTTAGTTTTGTGAGGTATATGCCCTAAGCGTCCGATTATGCACCCTAAATACGCTTAATACTGCCTCTGTGCGTTAAACTTGACACATTTTGTAAGACAGACACTTGAACTTAATTGGTAGAAGTGCATCTTTATAACAATCATGTTTATAAGACCACATGAGTGAAATATTGTACTGACCCTCCTGATCATTTCTTTATTTTGCTTGCTGTGTGTCATTTAGAGCGTTCCTGTAGCGACCCCAAGTCATTTACGATTTGATGGGACTGACAGTTCGGTCACTTGGTCGTTCGTTTGGTTTTTATGCGAGTTTCAGTGTTTTGGAGCTTATGAACCTAGAACGATATTTTCAATCAAAAGTTCAAGAAGATGATATCTGAATCAAGTTCTGACGATTCCATTATCTCCGGAGGGTCATTTTAGTCTAGTAGCATGGTCGACATGACTCTCGAGCTTTTCAGTGTGAGTTGGTGCGATTAGGCGTTTTAACTTTAAAGTTTAAGCCTAAGTTTGACTTTAGTCAACATTCTGAGTAAACACGCTCGGATGGGAATTCGGTCAGCGCGGTTACCTCCGAAATATCAAGTTTGGTCTAGATTGACCCTTCGTTCGTGTCCCAAGGATTTCGAGATTTTTCCGACCCCCTTTGTTGTGTTGACTTAAATTGGTGATTGAGTGTAGGACCCACTTTTTTATCGAGATGACCTCGTATAGAAATTTCAACTACGCCATTGAGTCCGGAATATCGAATTTGGTGTGGTTGCATACCTCGTTTGCTTGCACGGGGTTCCGAACGAGTTTGGAGTACCCCGTCGGAGTTTTTAAGTTTGTGGAAAATTCGGATTTTTCTGCATTATATACACCAGATTTTCAGCATTTTCCCAAAAACTTAAAAACTCCGACGGGGTGCTCCGAACTCGTTCGGAACCCCGTGCACGCAAACGAGATATGCAACAATACCAAATTTGATATTTCAGATTCAATGGCGTAGTCAAAATTTCCATATGAGGTCATCTCGATAAAAAAGTGGGTCCACACCCAATCGCCAATTTAAGTCAAAACCACAAAGGGGGTCGGAAAAATCTCTAAATCCTCGGGACACGAATGGAGGGTCAATCTAGACTAAACTTGACATTCCGAAGCTAACCGCGCTGACCGAATTTTCATCTGAGCACGTTTGCTCAGAATGTTGACTAAAGTCAAACTTAAGCTTAAACTTTAATGTTAAAACGCCTAATCGCACCAACTCATACTGAAAACCTCAAGAGTCATGCCGAACATGCTACTAGCCTAAAATGACCCTTCCGAAGCTGATGGAATTGTCAGAATTGGATTCAGATGTCATCTTCTTAAACTTTTGATAAAAAATGATCGTTCAAGGTTCATAAGCTCCAAAATACTAAAACTCGTATAAAAACCAAATAACATTTCCATTGACCTTCTATTTGGATTAAGAAATTAAATGAATATATATATATATATATATATATTTTAACTTGTGAACCCCTTTAACAAAATTGATTGAGTACTTAGTAGTAAGAAAAGGGGTGTGGTAGTGCTTTCCGCGCTAGCTTTGTGGGTTCGAACCCCATTATCAACAAAAAAATCTCATTTTTTAAAAAAGGAAGCGTGATAAACTTGACACATTTTGTAACATACTTCCTCTACATTAAACTTGACACATTTGTAAGATACTACCTCTACGCGTTAAACTTAACACATTTTGTAAGACAGACACTTGAACTTAATTGGTAGAAGTGCATCTTTATAATAATTATGTATATAAGATCACGTGAGTGAAATACTGTAATGACCCTCCTGGTCATTTCTTTGTTTTGCCTGCTGTGTGTCATTTAAAACATTCCTGTAGCGACCTAAGTCATTTACTACTTGTTGGGACTGACAGTTCGGTCATATGGTTGTTCGTTTGGTTTTTATGCGAGTTTTACTGTTTTGGAGCTTATGAACGTAACCTTGAATGATATTTTCGATCAACAGTTCAAGAAGATGACATCTTAATCAAGTTCTGACGATTTCATCCGCTCCGAAAAGGTCATTTTAGGCTAGTAGCATGGTTGGCATGACTCCCGAGGTTTTCAGTGTGAGTAGGCGCGATTAGGCGTTTTAACTTTAAAGTTTAAGCCTAAGTTTGACTTTAGTCAACATTCTGAGCAAACGCGCTCAAATGAGTATTCAGTCAACGTGGTTAGCTCCGGAATGTCGAGTTTGGTCTAGATTGACCCTTCGTTCGTGTACCGAGGATTTTGAGATTTTTCCGACCCCCTTTGTGGTTTTGACTTAAAATAGCGGTTGGGTGTGGGACCCACTTTTTATCGAGATGACCTCCTGTGGAAGTTTTTACTGCGCCACTGAATTTGGAATATCAAATTTGGTATGGTTGCATACGTCGTTTGCGTGCATGGGATTCCGAACGAGTTTGGAGAACCCCGTCGGAGTTTTTAAGATTTTGGGAAAATTCTGATTTTTCTACATTATATACACCAGATTTTCAGCATTTTCCCGAAAACTTAAAAACTCTGACGGAGTGCTCCGAACTCGTTCGGAACCCTGTGCACGCAAACGAGATATTCAACCATACCAAATTTGATATTCCAAATTCAATGGCGCAGTCAAAACTTCAATACGAGGTCATCTCGATAAAAAGTGGGTCCCACACCCAACCGCTATTTTAAGTCAAAACCACAAAGGGGCTTGGAAAAATCTCAAAATCCTCGGGACACGAACAAAGGGTCAATATAGACTAAACTTGACATTCCGAAGCTAACCGCGCTGACTGAATTTTCATCCGAGCGCATTTGCTCAGAATGTTGACTAAAGTCAAACTTAAGCTTAAACTTTAAAGTTAAAACGCCTAATCGCACCAACTCATACTGAAAACCTCGGGAGTCATGCTGACCATGCTACTAGCCTAAAATGACCTTTCCGGAGTTGAAGGAATCGTCAGAATTGGATTCAGATGACATCTTCTTGAACTTTTGATCGAAAATGATCGTTCAAGTTTCATAAGCTCCAAAACACTAAAACTTGCATAAAAACCAAATAACTTTTCCGTGGACCTTTTATCTGTATTAAGAATTAAATGAATATATATGTATTTTAAGTTGTGAATCTCTTCAACAAAATTGATTGAGTGCTTAGTGGACAAGAGTCTTATCACAATATTCTACTCTTCTCCATTGCCAAACATTCCGACGAGATGACAAGTAACTTCTGCACTCTTGTGCATGTTGTCCAGATGATTGGTCGACATAGCCCTTGGAGTCTTGCTTCAACCTAAATTTGGAGATTGCCAGAATATATAGCACACGTTTTGGTCCTGTATCATCTTTTCGTGTCAATGTTCTAGCAGTAACACAATATGCAGATAAGGGTGGCAATGGTAAATCATCTTTCAGTCATGTTGGATGAACTTGACTCTTTGCTTTTGCGTGCATCAATAAAGGATCCAAGGGCCTCAATATACTCAATGAAGGCACATATTGTTACTCCCTTAAATGCATTGGACAATCTTCTTAAAATTGGCCCAGCTGATGTGTTTAAGAAGAGATAATTTGTGTCTGATTTATTTTTATTTTTTGCTAATAATAAAGATGTAACACCTGAGAGATTGGACCCGATCTGAAGCAATTGGAATCTATACTATAAATATGAAACATATTCCTTGAGCAGGTCCCTCTGTTTCATCCTTTTAAAGTTTTGTATTGCTCATGAGTTGATGGATAGAGGGAAGCTATTACTCTAATTGATGCAGATATTCCAAAGTATATAGCTTTTCGATTAAGTTCTATTTTTTTTCTATTTAAAAACTTCCACTTAAACTCTAAATTTACATGGCATAATAAGGAAAGAAGAAGAGATTGTGTATGCAAGATCAAGATGTTCAAGAGAACTTAAACACTTGCAAAAATAATAAATCACAGATTCAATTAATTAGAGATAGTAAATTGCTCTAACTTGTCATGACAAACTGAATATCTTAGTACAAATGAAGAAATAAAAATTATAACAAGCTAGAAAATGGACAAGGATAAGCCATGCCATAAATATCTTCAACTGAACCTCTCCGTTGCTCCATCTAATTTCAATACTGAACTGCAATTCTTTAAGGCTACACAAATGTGCAGGTTCTCTACAAATATGAATAGATTTCGATATTTCATCTTGCTTTTGATCTCTATGGACAACATCTAGGGTATAACAAGATTACCAAGGAAAACACCTCCTCCGATCATCAACATCTGCTATTAGATATAATATGATGCTTGAGCTTTGAAAATCCACAAATCACATCTGCATAGAGAATTCAGATTTGGACAGCAATAAAGTATCGGCTTTAGCAAATTGTCGCAGCCCCATCAATTAAAGAGCACATCAGATATCAACATAGGCTTCATACGTTAAATCATAAATAAATTACTATTAAAATACCCAAAATAGCAAGTCATAAATTTAAGTACGGATGTCAAACTAAAGTATGGAAAACAAGTCTAAACAATCATTAAAAATTCAGATTCGTAAAAAGCTAAAGTAGTCCACAAATAAAATATTAAGCAGTTGATTGCTGATTTGTGTTGTTATTGATCGATGATCCCCTAATATCCACCAGTGAAACAGGGTCATTCTCCGAATCAGCAGGCTGAAATAATGAAGTACAATATTACTAAACTAATCAGAATTGACTGTAATAGAAGAAGTATAAACAATATTTACATCTTACTTCTGACTGAGGAGAAAATAGAGTAGAAAATTGTTCAGGAACTCCACCATCCTTTGATATCATGTAATCCTTCAACGCAATCAAGGTTCCTTCTAATTGGGACTCCAAATGCACGACCTTTTGATGCAAATAGGTAGAATTTGTGGACGATGCACCATAGCTAGACGAAGAAATGCTCAGTTCACTAAATCGTCGTTTGGTATTCAAAAATGTGTTTGAAGGAGATGCTACCATACCCATACATCTTACTCTCCCAGAGTGCTCTGCCCCTAACATCTTCCCAATAGTATCATTTGGGGAAACTTCAGTCTCATTGGTGTCGCCTTGAGTCATATTCAGTACAATTTGCTTCTACGAGCATATAGATATCAATATTAAGACTTGAGATGCAAATTTTGAGATAGTAAAAATGAAGTTAATGTATAAAAAAATGCACCATTGTTGTACTTACCCCTATAGTTCGTGCTTCATCATTCACAAATGATCCATTCCTTCTCTTATGAGTTTCAATAAACATTTTTGCCCGACTGGTAGTTTTTCCAGTTTCCAGAAACTAAGAAAGAAAAGTTATAAAAAAGTTATCCTAAAACTGTTTAACTAAAGAAAAAGCAAAATTATTAAGTTATTGCGCATACCAATTCATGTCGTCTTCTCGAGTTAGCTTTTGAACCACCAGTATGTGGCATTTTTTGCATCTTCTGAATTTCCTTATTTCTTCTACAAATCTCCTATCAACAAAATAAGTACAACTTAAATTTTTTAACTTTATTTAACTATAACGAAATGAAACTTATTAACGTAACCTGAATCTTACCATTGTTGATGGTTTCATACGATAAGAAACAAAACTAGCCCATTGATCTTTATTTATACCAGATGGTACATTACTTAGAATCTCATTTTTGCTTTTGGCTGGGTCAAATATTCACTCCACAACCTTTGTCTATGTGTAGCCCACTTCTTTGAAATACTAGCATTGCAATATCTGTATGCTATGGACTCTCTTACCTCAAAAAGAAATCGAGGCTTAAAAAAATAAAAGTTAGTTTTCTCACGTCTACTATAATCATGGTGAAATAAGTAAATATATATCTTAAAACACGTGTACCTTCAATATTGTTTTAAAGCAGTCTTCCATGTACTTCTTAGGAATGCCTAATGGTCCTGACCACCTCTCAAAACTAATCGGAAACAAATTACAATCAATTGCCAAAGATCCACAATATCCAGCGAGCAATCCTTGTGCTTCACCATATGTTGTGTTATAGTCATCAAATTTCACAATAATGCGCTCTCCAACAGTTAGGTTATTAACCTCATTGGCCCTGACATGAATTTGCTTGATAGAGTTTTCTGAGTCTTTAACAAGAAAACAAATTACTCAACCAAAAAGGAAAAAAACTAAGATACCATAGCTTGAAGTAAAAATTCTATAAGGCATACCTCTTGTGTCTACATTCCAATATTTTGAATATATACGTTTGTTCATAAGGGGTACACTTGAATTAGAAGGCAGAACGTGAACTTGTTCTTGTGGCGGTGGAATTGAAGCTTGTTCTTCTTGTAGGAGAATTGGAGCTTGTTCTTCATGAGCTTGCGAGGGAATTGTTGAAGCATCTGGGAGAGCTTGTGCCGCTGGAGTAGTTGATGATGAAGCACGTCCATTAGCAACCTTTAGTGGATTCTTGAAACGTTTCACCTTTGGCATGGCTGCATATTCATTTAGAAAAAAGAGATCTAGGTGAATCAAATATGAAGAAATATGATGAGATGATACAGTAATAAACAAGTAGTTGGCAGAGAGAATGTACTATAATGCACAGAGAATTGAAAACTACAATATGTCTCAATACTGATAACTATGTCTCAATACTGCTAAAGCTTAACAATGAATGAAATAAAATACACATTTACATCCAAATTACAAAGCACAAACGTTTGTCCAACAATCATATCGATGAGGATAAATCAGAAACTTAGAAGAATTTGAGTACAACAAAAAATCTTACCTTATGTTGATCGATAATCTGAATAACATCTCTCCCAAAGGAACTATCTGGGAATTTATAGCTCTGGAAAGGGAAGTTTTCACCAAGAAAAGGGGAGAACAGGGGAAAGTGGAAACATGGAGGGGAAGGTGGGAATATGGCGCTGAAGGTGGGAATATGGAGGGATTAAGACCGCAAATATGATTTACTAGGTTAAAAGGGAGGGAAATAAAAAATAATATGGAAGTTTTCTTACTTTTTCCTCTCTTTTATTTTTACTATTACTATTATTTAAATAGAAAAATAGAAATAATTTGTTTGGTAAGACATACTTCAGTACAATTTATTTACCCTTAATATGTAAAAGGCGTTGTGACTTCAGGTGTTCAACGTAAGGAGCTGATTCTGAGTAATCACAAGCTGGTAAGGGCACTGATACATCAACCTCATCCCATAGATCCTTCATCCTCGAATAGTATGTAGTCACCGCGTCTGTTCCTTGTCTTAAGGTCGCAATTTCTGTCTAGAGATTGTAGATTCATGTTAAATTTGTTCTATCAAATATCTCTGTGAAGTCTAGCCAGATCGTCTTAGCACTTGTTGCATACACAGTTACTGGTATCTATTTGTTTGCAACTGTGCTTCCAATCTATGAAAGCACTATCGCATTGCATTTTTCCCATTGTTCTGCTAAATCTCCCTTGTAATTAATTTTGATGCAGGTTCCTTCAACAAAATCTAGTTTACCTTTCAGGATAATTTCATCGATCTACTCCACAAGTCATAGTTTTCTAGTCCTGTGAGTTTGATTGCTACTAAAACGGTGCCTGGAGCATCAGAAGGTTGTAGATAAAGTACTGGATGATTATGATCAAGAGGTGTTACCTCATTTATCGTCATGCTTTCTCTGAATCAACTTTGCAATCTGCTTCAATGTTCTTCGATCCCTACTATACAGTATCTCTAGGTTGATTTAATTTTCTTCTGTATCTAAGGTCCAGATTCATTTTCTCCTATTATGCATCGAGAAGTAAAAGCAAGTTGTGTTATCCCTATACTCGCGCGATGTCTTTGAGAAGCTCTAACTGCAAACAAGAAATTGATTTGCTATTACTCATAGATAGTAGAACTAGAATACCAATAGATATTCAACTTGTGAAGTCGCACTGTAACATTGCTTTCTTCCTCTATTTCTCCCTCTGCCAATTCAGGATCAGTGGAAGAGGTAATGATGTTTGCCTCTGAAACTTCTACAAGCATCATCTATAATGTTGGTGGCTGCAATCTCAGCAACAACCCCATTATAGAAATCTGATTATTATTATGACCCTATTTAGTGAATAGTTTCATCATATGTCTAGACAATCTGGTGTGTGAATGACACCAGTTTATGTGAGGAGACTTACCAGAAACTTGATGGGCATGATCATAGACTAAAGTGGCGTTCAATCAAACATCAAGGCAAGATGGTCATTTTTTTTGTATGGGATCTATAGTGATCTAGCACTCCACGTCCATGATGGAAATAAGAGATGACATAGATGAGATTACAATTAAATACTCTAACAAGCTTATATTGAATAAACATCAGCCGTTTGCTGCCTATACTGCCCAAATGCGTCATTAATCATTATTTCTATTGAATTTTTTGGATGAAACGTCTCTTGCACAACAACTCTATCTCCAGAAGACTCTAATAGCTTTTTCTCACCATGAATATTCCAAATAACATAATTTTGAAGGAATGGCTTGCAAGCCAAATGATCCCGCACTTCCTCTCTAGTTTTCCACTTCCCAAAACAACACATGGGACACGGACATCTGATTGTATCTTCCACAGCCGCATTCTTAAATACAAAATCAATAAATTTATCCAAACCAAGCAAGTATTAATGTAATGATTAACTACTCTTTTATTTGAATTATAATTTTATTGTGTATATATTAATAATAAATTATATACATTCAAATATTTAAAAACAAACTACAAGATCTTAATCATTCAGATGTGCATTCAGATTCAGACGTCTTAATCTTAATGAATACAAATGAGGCTAAAGTGTTAAAATTATTATGAATGCTTAATGATTTCATAAAAAGTGCAAAATAGGATCTAAATGTCTGACTACATGATTGTTGATTGCTTAGAGTTGAATTTGTTGAAATATTATTTCATACAGAGATAATATTACATAAAATATACATTTTATGTCGATTTGAAATCACCGTAATACAAATTAGATAAGTCATTATCAAGTGCAAAAAAATTATGATTGTTAATTATAAACCGCCGTTATATGTGAAATAAATCTCCAAGCTCGTTCTGTTCTTTTGTAGTGCAAAAACCCCCACAAAAATATCGTCATAACAAGAATAATTTTGGGGAGGTTGAAACACATGCTACAAATTGAATTTATAGTGGGGGTCTTTTACAACCTCCACACTTAAACCACCATAAAAAGAATTATTTTGTGGAGGTTGGCACAAACACCACAAATTGAATTTATAGAGGAGGTCTTTTGCAAACTCCACACTAAAACCGCCATAAAATGAATTATTTTGTAGAGGTTAGCACAAATGCCACAAATTGAATGTGTAGTAGGGGTTTGTTATGACCCCTATAAATTAACTGCCACAATTTAGCAGTTTTTTTGTAGTGATACTTGTATCTGCATCATGAAATGATGCAGGTCAAATGGCTCAGTACATGGAATGTACGAGCATGTAAGGGGAATTCTAAAAGATAAACATAAGCTCGAACTTGATAAAAAGAAAACATACTTTCCTTTTCTCAACTCACTCAACTAAACTAAACTCAAGAAACATAGTTGAACTCAACTCAAGGAAACGTAGTTCAACTCAACTAGAGAATATGATACTCAACTCAAAGATTAGATACTCAACTCAACTCAATATAAAGTAGGAATAAATGATGCAATATATGGAAAGCTTTTCAATCAGTATATAGCAACTCAATGTATTGAAGAATACAATAATAACTAAATTTGTACATAAAAATACAATATAACTCTGTGGGAGATTCTTTAACAGACAACAATCACTCTGAGCTATATGATTATACATCGTATCGCCCACGCTGCTAGAACTCTCTTATACTTTGTCGGGGTATAGAAATCCTCTACTAAGTGGATCCACTATTATATGCTAAAAAGCATTAAGGAATCATGTGAAAAGTATGACCCTTTCTACCCATGTAGGCTACATAGTTTATGGAATCTTGAGTTATCTAAACTCGTCCATATATCGGTGTTTGTTAGCACCCCTTTAGTCTACCAACAGTTTACACATGGGAGATTTAAGGAAATTAGAAAGTAGATTACTTTAGCTTATAAGTTACTTAGTTGTTTGCAGTAGATTACTACAGCTTTTAAGTATTTATGTTTTCATTTTCTATGTAGCAGTTATTGCAGTAAGGAGGTTATTCATCCACTTTCTCATTCAGTTGTAGTAGGTAGTGGGCAGTTACTTTCTATGTTTCAGTGTGTATTTAATGTATTTGAATTCAGTGAAATGTTAAGCAGAAAATTACTACGTCATTGAGTACTTCAAACTCAAGAGATTGCAGGTTCTCTCTTAACGAACCAGCATCATAGGTCGTAGGAAGAAAACATTCGATTTCACACTACAACGCCCCATAACCAGATCCATCTCACGGGACTATAACAACTTGGTATCAACCAGGTTGTTATGGGAGATACCAAGTTGTTATGGGAGATCAAATTCAACATCAACTGGCACAATTGGTGAACTTATTTCAAGAAGAACGTGCAGCCAATATAGAGAGATAGGAAGCAATAAATGCTCGCTTAGATGCACTCACAAAGGATCTAGCGAATTCGAAGGTTGATTCTGAATCAACTGATCCTACCAGTCAGAATCAGGGCTGGAAGGGTAAAAGTGGAGTGGCAGAAGGGTCAAAATCAGATGCAAGAGGAAGTTCCTTCATTCCTAGGTATACAAAGTTAGATTTTCCACAGTTTAGTGGCCAAGGGGACCTTTTGGGATGGATGAACAGATGTGATCACTTTTTTCGACACCAACAGACTCTAGATGAAGAAAAAGTTAGTCTTGCTTCTTTTCATTTAGAGGGGAATGCACAACTTTGGTTTCTTCAACTAGAAACAGATCTGCTGGAACCGTCTTGGGATGAGTTCAAACGTTATTGTAACCTTTGTTTTGGGCCACCAATCAGAAGTCAGAAGTTAGGAGAATTGGCTAAGTTGCGCCAGATTGGGTCCGTGGCAAATTACCAAGAAAAGTTTGAGCAGTTAGTTTGCTGGGCTGATACACTCACACAATTGCAAAAGATAGAACTTTATATTAGTGGTCTTGTGGATTAAATAGCAATTGAGGTTGAGTTGCATAATCCTCTAGATTTGGCTACGGCGATGAGTTTATCCCGGCTTTATGAAAGTAGGGGACAACCTTTTCGTTCGCAACTGTTAGATGGTCGCAGATCCAAAACATCATATTTCTCACCTCCACAACGCACCAGATTTATAAGGAAATTGACTAGATCTGAGATGGATGAAAGGAGACTTAAGGGTCTCTGCTTCAACTGTGATGGTGTCACAACTCCACAAAATATGCGGTTACAAGGCCAACTGGCAGGGAATCCAGTAGTGTCATTAGTCGATTCTGGAAGTACTCACAACTTTGTGAACTCTAAAATTGTGTCACAATTCAATCTTCAAGTTGAGAGGCGAGAAGGGCTACGAATAGTTGTGGCAAATGGAGAACGGGTCAGAAGTTCGGGACAATGCAAAGGAGTTTCAATATGGTTTGGTAATTATGGTTTCCATATTGATTTATATGTCCTCAATCTAAGTGGATTTGATGTGGTTCTAGGTGTGAATTGTCTTAAAACTTTAGGACCCATACTGTGGGATTTTACAGATATGTGAATGTCATTCTTCAAAAATGGAAAACAAGTGGAGTTACAAGGTGTTAAGTCTCCTGATCCAACTCAAGGAGCAACAACTCATGTTATGCTGGCTGACAAAGATAATCAGGAAGAATTGCAAATCATTTTGAAAGATTTTGCTTGCCTCTTTAATGAACCAGTAGGGCTCCCTGCTAAACGTGATTGTGACCACAAAATTGTTCTGGAACCAGGAACAAAACCTGTTGTAGTTCAACCATATAGATATCCACATAATCAAAAGGATGAAATTGGAAGACAATGTTCAGAGATGTTGAAGCGGGGAATAATTCGGCCAAGTCAGTCTCCATTCTCTTCCCCGGTGCTTCTTGTTCCTAAATCTGATAGTTCTTGGCATATGTGCATTGATTATCGTGAGTTGAATGCAAAAACAATCAAAGATAAATTTCCTATTCCAGTAATTGAAGAATTGTTGAAGGAATTGTTTGGGGCTAAATATTTCTCTAAATTAGACTTACGCCAAGGTTATTATCAAGTTCGGATGAAAGAGGATGATGTGGACAAAACTGGTTTTCGTACTCACCATGGACATTTTGAGTTTTTGGCTATGCCCTTTGGCTTAACCAACGCTCCACCTACCTTTCAATCATTAATGAATGAGGTATTTCATCTTCACTTGAGAAACTTTATTTTGGTGTTTTTTGATGATATTCTTGTGTATATAGTCGCACTAGGGTCGAACATATGTATCATCTGCGACTTGTCTTCAAGTTACTCTCCGATCATCATCTTTTTCTGAAGCAATCAAAGTGTTCATTTTCCCAAACTGAAATTGTTTATTTGGGCCACCTCATCACTGCTGATGGAGTTTCTGCAGATTCCAGCAAAATTTCAGCCATGACTGAATGGTCCAAACCTACAACTCTTAAGGGGTTGCGAGGTTTCCTAGGCCTCACAGGATATTATCGCAAGTTTGTGGAAAATTATGGATCCATAGCTGAACCATTAACAGCCATGCTCCGCAAGAATTCATTTATATGGACAGATCAATCAACACAAGCTTGACGTTTCCTAGGACTCACAGGATATTATTGTAAGTTTGTGGAAAATTATGGATCCATAGCTGAAGCATTAACAGCCATGCTCCGCAAGAATTCATTTATATGGACAGATCAATCAACACAAGCTTTCGAAAAACTCAAGGTTGCTATGACAACTACACCTGTATTGGCACTTCCAGATTTTTCTCA